GTCCAGTGTATTTTTATGTGTTACACATATAGCCGGGGGGGGGTAGGCTATTGAAAGCACAACGACCGATGACCGTAACGACTAACGATTGCAGTATCGTTTGGAGCACATTCGATTGTCTCAACAGTTTGTTACGCGCCTATATAACGTTGAGTGAACGGTATACAAATAAAGAGAGAATCGGAAAATGGAAAATTTGATAAACAAAGGTCCTAGGTTTTTTTTTTATTAGAGCTTCCGTTTAAAAAAATATTATAGCTCGACAATTACAAATAAAAAAATACAGTAAATTAATGATATTAACTAATTTATTTAGTTTATATTATCATTAACACAATTAAACACAAATTCAAAATAAATAAGAATAAAATTTAAGAAGAAAATAAAAAACCATGTAGATTATATTTTAGAGAGAATGGTGTATTGGGGGGACTGTCGATAAAAGACTAGTTAAAGGGTTAATAATTGTTGGTAAACAATTGACGATGCTTTTGTTTAAAATAATTGTAATTCTCATTGAAAGTGTCACGAGAGTTTTAGGCAACTGTGCATAACCTTGTTAATAACCTAAGTTATTGTATGAGTAGGGTGCAATCATAACTAGCATGAACCAAAAATCACATTAATAGGTTTAGGTTAGCATTTGAGTCCAAATCCGTTTTTATATTAGCCACTACTTCTTAGGCGATATCTAACTCGTTCTGGCGTTTCGGATTCGGATTCGCCGTCAAGAAATCCTATTACACAAAGTTACCGACTCATTTTGTTATTTTTGGGATACACGAGTTTTGATTTCGGCCAACTCATAATATTCCTATGAGTCGCAGTACAACTAAAGTAAATACAATAGTAAGTAGGTATTCTTTTGTTTTAAAAGCTGCGTCGACAATATTTGTTCTGGTTTTGGAAACGCGTTTGTTGTTGTGCTCGATATTCTGGTAAACAAAAAAATCAAAAAACAGCAAACGCTCCGGAATCGACTCGCGAAATCGTTATAGTCCGACCATTATAGTTAGTTAAATTGCGAGAGAAGGTAGTGCATTCCCATGTTTCGCTGTGGATTTCTAGTGGCTTTGCTGTTTGGCCGCGCCATTCAAATTTACTCTACGGCCGACCATGGTGACTGTTCGGAAAGGACGGCGGCTTCGGACGATTCGAATTCCAGCGACTACTCAATGTCGGAAACCGTAGAAACCAGCGGCGTGATCCAAGCGGAAACCATTGCTTGCGACGTGATGGCCATATCGCTGTCGTTTATGCGGGTTACGGCGATCATGCTGAAACGATACGACAGTCTGAGCCCGGCCGAGACGGATCATTTGGCGAACGCCATGGAAAGCTTCTCGCCGAGTGCCTGCGGAATGCTGAACTTGCTCAACGACATCGACAACAACGACCGGCGAGTTTATCATATGTTGCTGTTCTACTTGTACGTTCACGAGTTCCGCACTTACTGGCAGTATATTTCGGTCGACGACGAGATACCGGCTTGCGTGTTCATACACGGCACGATGACCAAGGAGCTGGGGTTGATGTCGGCGACCGACCGTTGCCGGGGCCGCAGCGCATTCGACGTGACCGACCCCGCTTGTGCGCTGCACTTAACGTACACGGATCTGGCCGGGGACCCCACTCCCGACTACCACCTGGCCTTTGACTTTTACTCGTTATTTTTGGAATACCTCGAGCTGCACTTCCGGCATCCGAAATTCGGGTCGTCCGACGATTATTCGCAAATCAACGCCAACCGGCTGTACCTTAACGCCGGTATGTTCTACAGTCGCGACATGGCGCTGTTCCAGACCGCCTGCGTGGAAACCATCGCCTGGGGTAACGGGTCGGACGCGTTGGCCACGGCTTTGGACCAGGCGAGAGCACCGTCGAACCTGTACGACGGCCTCCAGGGCATACGGCGCTATCAGCTGCTGTACTTGACCCAAATGAAAATGATCATGTTGCGGTTGATGTGGACCCACATAACGTTGGCCGACAACGCCCGAACCGTCGAAGCGGTCAACAAGGAAATGCACGACTTGGCCGGGTCCTTTGCCGACGTGACTGGTCTCAGAGACGACGTTCGTCTGGTGGAGATCATCGATTTTTTCACCGCGGACGCTAGTGCTTTTTTTGCGGGAAAAGCCAACGCCATCGAAGCCATCAAAGAGCAGTTGACCGAAAGCTGTTGCCTGTTCGAACGGTGCGACGCCACCAGCCAAGACCGCGAACACGTTTCGCGCATCTTCCGGAAAGTCATAGAATTCGCCCTCGACCAACATTTAACGTACGGCACAAGTGCTGAGCTCGAAAAGCTGGAAGACGTGCACAAAAATCTAAAACGAGCCGACATTTTCATAACATACATCAGTGTACTTTTGTACTATGTCGATTTCGATGTTATAAAACGGTTTTTCCAATACGCCTACGAAACGTACTAGTTCACTAAATTTAGGCTGTCGGCTGCAGCAACACATTATTTTTTTGGAGGCCATACAGCTGCCGGCGGCCGTATATCCCGTTTTATTGTATTTTTAAAAAAAATTTGATTATACTGTTTTATATAGCCGTATCGTAAGGAAGAAAAAAAACAAACGGTTCGACCATGTGTTACATATTTATCTTATATACGACGATGTAGCATTGTAATTTTGACTATTTTAATTTTAGTATACATTTTTTTTTTTAACAACCGAAATAAAATTATTTCATTATTAAATATTTGTTATTATTATAAAACAAAATCGCATCTGAATAGGTAAGCGCCGGCGCGCTTACATGGCGTATCGTGATTCACTTTATATTATCCAGATAATTACAATAATACTTGAGATATGAAACTGTATTTTTATATTTATTTGTTCAGAAAATAACACTTTGTAGGTTTATGGAAGTCGGCCATATTTTATCGACAGCAGTATAATTATAATAGTAAACACTGTGAAACGATCGATTTCCCCATTTTCGACCACTTAAATTTAAACACTAAACCAATGGCCAAATATTTAGGAATCAATGATATAAAAATACTTTATATATTATTATTCATAATCTTAAGTGAATATTTAATATTACAATTTGTATTTAACTTAAGTTTTCGTGCACTACGTTTACTATTTACTTTTTGGAATTCGTTTCCACTAATTTATTATATTTAAAAATATATATTAGACATTAGATGCTCATAACTAAAGAACGGATTTTGAGGTTATTTGGAAAGTTCCAAGTTTGATGTTAGTTATGCACTAATCAAATTTTAAATTATTCTTTTAAACATTCCATTAAAAACTGGTAAAATATGTTAAAAAAATGCTCTTAAAAATAATCTCTTATCTCCAAAATATGCTTTAATATGCAGAATACTATTTTTTCAACAAATTCTCTTATTAATAAATAATTGTTCTCATTTTTTACCCCGTAGAGCTACATAAAGCCAACAAATATGTGAACACCTAAAAATCCACTTTCAATATATAAATTTATGCAACAAAAAATACCAAGTGTTTTATGTTATTCAATTGAAACGATAAAAAACATAATTTTATCAAAGAAAACAAATATAATTGCATGGTAATTCTTTGGAAGGTAGTGAATTCAAATTAGAAAACATTTTATTTTCTGAATGATAGTAATAAGGAACTAATAAAATGTAATGTAAAAATAATATCTCCAAGTACCGAAACATTTTTAATAAAAACAACAAACTAATGTCAACACAATGTTAAGTTAATATTATTATTGCTCATCATTTCTTTGGTAATTATTTTTTTATGTAGTAACCTTTGAAACAGCCTCTCTTAAAATGAATGAATATATAATAAAAATATGTTTTTTTTTACAGATAGTTATGTAATGTATGGATGATTTTTCGGAAATATCCATATCACTGGTTTTTAGCCGACGTCTTGGATTCTTTGCACTCTAACTATCCAACTTACAATCTAGAGGGACACTAGGCCAAAATATTGAAGGAAAAAGTAGAAAAAACCACATTATACAGTATACACAAAAAACTCAACGCACTTAATAAAAAAAAAACAAAATGGGAATGCGGAGATATCCTGGTCAGTTTAAGGTGGTTTCATTGTTCACGATGGTTTCAGTAGAAGCCACGTTAGAAATTATAAAGGAGAAAAAATGGTTTAATGAAAAACTTCACAAATTATTAGAGATGTGTACCAAATGAACAATTTTTACATACGAAGACACCATTTATAAACAAATTGATGGAATGGTTTGAAGAATAAACTTTAGATAGCAGCAGTTTGAAACCTAAAATGTGGCTTCGATAAGTGGATGACACATTTGTACAATGGCAACATGGCGAAGAAATTCCTAAGCCATTTAAATAGTATGCATAGAGTTTAGAAATATTCAATTCACAATAGAGATTGAGCAATTTGAACAACTTCCATTTTTGGACGTGCCAGTCAGAAAAAATCCAGAAGGGAACTTCGATACAGGGGTCTACAGGAAGAAGACCCACACCGATAGGTATTTACATACAGAGTCACACCATTGCTTTACACAAACTAATGGGTTTACTTCATACCATGACCACAAGAGCTGTAAGAATAGCTAGCAGTCATAATCTAAAGGAGAAAAACATATTTATGTCAAGCCACAATGAATATACAAACATAAACAAAGCATTAAAAAAAGCGGAAAACACATAAAACAGGAAATTTCAACGTATGAAATACCAATTTTATTATTATTTTTGGTTAATTAATAATTTCTATGTGAGAAATCCGCAATTTTTAAAGAATGCAAAAGGTAGGTGTAAATAGGTTGGAGGTAAATGCAACAAGCAAAACGCACAAAAAGTATACTACGGGTAAACTTAATATTTACTATTTAAAACTACTACTACTACAAAAACTGAAAATAGCATAACAACAAATCATTGCGGACTTGGCTGGATCTTTCCGGGGCGATACAGAGATTTCTGGACGATGACCCATAGAGATCTATTCAATATTGATTTTTTATAGCGATCACGTTTTCTATAGAATGTAACTGTCGCAATCGTCGACTGTGGTCTTGACGGGCCGCAACAACGTTCTGGGTCCAGTGCAGTCCACGTTGCACAGCACGTACTCGTCGTAGTTGGACTCCATTGACCATAGCGTGTCCCGCCAGCCGGCCACGACGGCGGTGGGCGTCAGGTACAGGTAGGAGCGGTGCACCAGCCGGAAGTTCGCGATGTCCAGCGGCGTGTTGGCGTCCCACGCGTACACTTCCGTGCTGTGCGGCAACCGGAAGTACACGTTGGTGCCGCCGTCCGAGCTGAAGAATACCATTGCGGTGGGCTTGAGCCCGATCTCGACCATGGACCCGAACTGGATGCTCTCGTTCGACCACGATTCCAGCGCGTACAATTTGGGGCTCTTCTGGTACGTGAAGTAAACGAAGCTCTTGCCGGCCTTGTTCACCGTGAAGAGGTGCAGCATCACGTTCCACGTGGTGGCCGCCGGCGGCATGGCCTCGGGTAGTGGTACGACGTGCAGGGCGTCGGCGTTCACGTTATACACGATGATTTTGCGGCGCGTCGCATCTGAAATGAACACGAACAGGTGGCCGTTCAGCGTCCGCTGGGCCACAATGTGCTGCAGTGTGCTCTCGCTAGACGTGACCGGCTGCAGGTCGATGGCCCGATCGACCGTGTCCGTTTTCAGGTCGATAGCTAACAGTTGCGGCGGCCTCAGGGGTATGGGCCTGCGGATCGTGTTCACCTTGCCCGAGTCCAGGGCCCACAGCACGCCGTTCTCCAAGAATATAGCCACAACGTTGACGATGCACGTGTCGCTGCACGAGCCGTAGTACTTGTAGTCGGGGAACGGTTGGATGGCCGGTTCGAAGTCCATCGGGTCCAACCGGAACACGCCCAGCGACCACGATACACCCGTCTTCATATACTGCGGCATGGTCACGTACGCCCGGGTTTCGTCCATCTGTACGCCACTGATGAGGATCTTGCGCGGGATGAAACGGCCAGTGCGTATGTCCTCGCTCTCTTCGATCACCGACGGCCAGTCCATGTTCGACCCGGACAACAGAAAAGCGTCGTTGCCGGAAACGGCCGGCGACAACGTTACGGCCGTCGTCAACACGCCGACGGTTACAAAACGGACGGCCGCTTTCAGGCGGTCACTGCCAATACGTTTTGCAGTCGACGAAAAAGACATTATTTTATTGTTTTAATGGACCTAGTATTATTATTGTACACACAACAATGTATTGTATTACAACAACGAAAACGGTTGCTTGGGAACAAATTGTACTTCCTAGGTATTTAAATTTTGGACAATATTTCCACTTAAATATATTATATACATTTTGAACTAAATCAAGTCCTAAGTACCGAAGATTGGCTAAATACAAAATACACAACTAACCAATTTTGAAGTACATAGTATGAATTTTAAAAATTCTAGAAAAATAAATACTTTTTTAGTACAGATAGTTACTTTATTAGTCATTTTTAAAATGCATAACTTTGGTAGGACGCATAAAATAGAAAACTAAGCAAATTAAAATAGCGAACAAATATAATTATGTATACCTATATATTTCAACTTGTAACGTTGCAAAAGTTTGCGAGAAAGTGAATCTTTAATTTTGTATGTTATATTTATAGAATGTCAATATATTATTGTCTTTTTTTTGTTGTTTTTATAAATAAAATTAGTTGTACAAAAATGTTGACTTATATTTTATGAAATTATCTAAATCAACATTAACATTTAAAAAAAAAGAGGGGTTTCACTTCTGTATACGTTTGTCCATGGCACATATATATATATATATATATATATAGAATAGAGAATGTTTTAACTTCAAAGGCATAATGTTAGGTGTTTCTTTTGTTTTTAAAATGTATGTTTTAAAAAAAATACTGCTTCATGAACTTAAAAAAATATATTATCATTGTTATTTTTTAATTTTTATGCAGCCAATGGTGCGCCATCTGTAGTAGCCAACTGACATATTTCGCAGTTGTCTTTTTATATCACTTGGTGGCGTTGAACAATATAATTCACGTTATACATACACATTTTACCATACGTGTATAATATACGTATCCACGTTCTAACCCAAGCACTTACCAAAATTATTTTGGGTAGCATTACCCAATATTGTCAAATTATAAAAAAAAAACATTACCGGTTTTTTTAGTATTTTGCTAACATCTATATGTTTAGTTTGAAATAATATGTTTAAATCGATTTACCAACAAAATAAAAAATAAAACAAAAAGATATTATGTACTAATATTATGTTTGCAAATGTTGTATTGGAACCACAGAAAATAAGGATGCCTTTTTGAAAATATTAATATCTTTGCAGCTGTTCATAACAAAAATCGTAACGACAAAAAAACAATACAATATACGTAGTAAAACGTATATACTACCTACAAATCTATGAAGGTTAGAGGTACATGACAAAAATATAACATATTTTAAATCTTGATGTTACGATTTATTAAAAAAAAAATCTGTAGCTTGATGTATTTGGCCGTGAAATTTATTTTCATCCACTTTATTTAATATAGTTATAATAAGCTGCTAGTTCAAAGTTCTATATCGATTAATTTTATGTTGTAAACATAATACATCTTTAACTTTTATAAGACAATACTAATTTCATTTTTAAGCAATATTTTTACAAACCTACAAAAATTTTTACAGTTCCTTTAAAAATTTCTATCTTTTGATTTTATAATATAATTTGGTGAAATTATTAACCTTCAATAAACATTCCTTGGTAAAGCGGCTACCTTAAGGAAATTTATCGACTCAAACTTAGATTTTTAATTTTTTTTATCTATTTACTATGGGAATGTACTTGTTAGACATAATTATTTGCAATTAGAATTATATTTTAGCTTATGATTTATTTTAATTTAATTTTTTTAAATTACATAATATGAAACTTGGCCCACCCACCTAGGGTAAATTGACCATGCTATATCCACTTTGCCCAATAGTAGGAGATTTTTCTTTTCAACTAGAAAATATTGTCATATTATTTCCTAAATTATCTTTTCTATTTTAACTGAATAAAAACACAATATTTTTCATCAATTTTTTTAATAAATTCAATCAACATAATTATACACAAATAAATAGAAATATTTTTCTTTAAAACATGTAGCTAATAATTATTATTATTACATTATTTTTGGGGTATTTTTTTTCGATTTTGATGGGGAAGGGGTGACTTTTTTAATTAAAGTAAATTTTTAGCCCATTAAAGTACCTTCCAAGTATGATTTCTATTCTATAGAGTTGCTACACAAAGAAATCGGTTCAGCGGTTTGCGAGATATCGTGGGTCCAGACACAAACAAAAAAAAACACATCATTATGAAAACAATACCTTCTCAGTTCCACACCGAAGCTAAAATATCAATAACAAACAAAAAAAAAATTGTATATTTTAAACCTTCTAAGCTAAGCGGTAAGTTATTATATAAAAAAAAAAACAAAATGCGTTTTTATGATTCACAAATCACACATAGAATATAAAAAAGCCAGTAGAGTGGGGTTGGGGCACAGTGGGGTCTTCAAGAATTACTATATAGGAAAGTGATAAAATCAGTTTCAAACAAATGTTTCAATGCAAATCTGTGGACACAGCAAACTCGCATTAATACTTTCTTACTGTGCTGGTTTATACTGTGCTAAGTTTAAACTGTACTGTTAGTAGATAATAGTCTATAGAGTAATAGTGGATAATTTGTGTTTTGTGAGTGTTTGTATTAAAATACTAACTGTACATCATAATTCATGTATGTAACTCACTTTTTTCTTAAAATAAACTAAACAATTATATTGTTACTAAATCGACGTGGACATTGTTTTAGTATACAATTTGTTTATGGGTAGAGCTTTGTATTTGACTAAATAATAAAATGGTATTAAACAAAGTGAGTAGATTAATTTGTATGATATAAGAATCACGATTATTAGTACAAAGATGTGACGGCTAATTTGAATGTATTTTTGGTGTTTTATAAACGATTTGTTCAATATTAATGCAATTCGCCGTTACCAAATTTTTATTTGAAAAGATTTTGGTAAGTATATTTGTCGAAAGAATAGTTTACTATTTGAAATAAAGTTTGTACTCAAAATACATAAAAAATATTTACTTGAAACAAACAATTCGATATAGTAAAGGAATTTATCGAAAAAATCACACTGTTTATGACTTAAGTTAAACGTTTAATGTTGTACAACGTTTGGAAACACTTAACGTTAATATAACATATAGACTATGTGCAGACAATCACAATGAACAGATAAGCAACTTGAATAATATGATAGCTGTATATTGTGCTAAAGAAATTATTGTGTATTTTAACTTAAGAGACGACTTCTTGTTTGTATTTTCCGTTTGATTTTGAGGAAATCAGTGAAAAGTTATTAACACATTAATGAGAAAGTACCCAGCGGCCGCGGGTAAACGTGCGGTGCCGGGCGCGCGCGTATATATCTGTGAACTTTAAAAGTCTGTAACTTCTAAAGTAAGTGCGAGCGGCGCAAAATTTGTTCATATTCGCAATTAACGTGAAAAATACTATCGAATCAAAAAAAAAAAAGTAAAGTAGATTTATACCCCACGTCGAATACATTATTCAAATTTCATATTATCATTGTACAATTGATAAAAATAATTTCCATTTACGCTAACAGTGTAGGTATGTTCAAATACCTAACATATTTTCCCATTTCTTTTTATCGCATACAATACATTATTGTTAACGACGTGCGCTAAGCCAACCGTAAAATAACACATAAAATCAAATACAGTCCACAACAAAATGATTCAAACATATTGATTCAGGCGTTGTTTTTTTTTTTATACTTAAACACACTCGTGAGGTTCAGCTCGAAAGTTATAACGCTAAAAAAGTGTACACTCCATATTGTGTTGTGGAGACGTTTTCGCATTAGCCATGTTTTCCCGTCGATTATGGCTGGTCTTGACGATCGCAGCAACTATGCTACAAAGTGTGTCTTTTACTACTGCGTGTAAACGTGAAAAATTTAAAATTCGCGATACGTTCGATCATTATAGTAGGTTAAAGCAGGTCGATACGGGATACCCTGACGAAGAAAAGCCACAAGTACTAGCAAAGGAAGGTACTGATAAATTTGTGGACGAAGTAAGGCAAGCGATACGCGATCTAAACCATCAACTGTTGTGTTGTTTCACGTTCAAGATGGTTGATTATATGAATTTGCTGGGGCAGCTTTTTTCGGAAAACGGTAAGAATGAGTTAACTCGGCTAATCCAAAGTAAAGACGACCACACTGTTGTTTTTCTACGGGAAAATTGGATAAACACGTTGAACGCAATGTACCATTTCGGTATGTTGGACAAAATGGGTCCGATATGGCTCGTATATACGTTTGTTACACACTTGGAATTGATTGACAAGAAAACATTTTTAGGTAAGCTCAAAGAAATTGTAATAGAACAACAAGATTTTTCAAAACGGCTGTCAGACATGCATAAAGAGCAAAACTGCAAGACCCAAAACAAGTCCAACGACCCACAGGAGGGGTCATCTCGTTTCAACCGTTTGTTATCGTCGGTTTCACTAAATCCAAATAATCAGAAATCGATAATAAGCGACATAGTAACCTTGGGAGAATCACTGAATACAATATACTACTCGATCCACAATCTCATGGGTATTGATCGCAATTGTAAAAAACAATTTTTTCATTCTGTCTTACTCTTGGAGCCCATTTGGAAAGACGAAGAGACGATGAGGCGTTTCTATGTCGACTTTGCTGAGATAACTGAATGGGAACAAATGTACCCTCGAATAATCAAAATTTATGAAAAAAGGCAATTTAACTCGGCTCGGGAACTGATTGGAATCATTGCAAAATCACAAAGTTTGTTTACAAATTCGGTAAAATTTACAATTTTAAACAACGTTTGGAAACAAGTAACGTTAATTAATTTGTCTCTAGGACATAGTCCTATTGAAATTCGCCCATGGGACCCATGGGCTAATTTCGATGAATCTATTGAGCACATAACCGAGTTAAACAAGACGATGGTCCGTTATGTTGAATTAATTACTTATTATTTTAACTTGAAAGACGATTCAAGTTTGGCGTTTCTTACGTCTCTAATTAAAATGCCACCAAATGCATTTACCA